GTATTTCTAGGCAGGGCTTATTTTTTTCTCAATTGTTCTATGCTCTTTACTTTCCCATCAGACTCTATCTCATCACATCATCCCTGTCCATTAGCTGTTCTGACTGGCATGCACAACATTTTTTGGGGGGTGGGGGGAATGGACATCCCTGATCTACATGTTACTGAAAGGAAAGGTCATTTGGAGTCATGGAGTGTGGAATCCATAGTACGTGGATGACACCAATGCTTGTTCACCCTCTCTCTCATTTTCATCTGATCTAGGTAGTGATGAAGCTTCTGAGCTGGAAGAATGGATTGTACCACTTCAGATTCTAAGCAGAATAAAGTTTTTGAATGCTCCACAAAGGCTACTTTGAAGCAGGTCAAATCGCTTAAAAATGTGGAACAAAATCCTCAACCATCTCTCCATTAAACATGGGCAAACAAAACACAAAGAATTGTTCCAAGTGAATTCCCAATGCTGAAAGCTTAGCAAACAGGGTCAATTTGTTACTACAATTTCTTTGACATACTGAGTAGTCAGCACTGTATGTGAAGTCAGATGTATGTGCTGCACTCCCAATTTATGTCATCCTTCCACCTTTGTTTACTTTCTTAAAAGAGGCAGTACCATCAATACAATTGCACAATCCATGTTCAGTTCACAAATAACTCTTTCTGCACATACATTCTGCAGGCACATACTGTACAGACAGTATTTCCACATTTACAGACATATGAACTGGCTCTCTGTGGCTGTCTAAGCAATTTATTAGTGTTGTGCTAAGGATAAACATCTTTTTTCATCCTAATCTTTTTAGCTCATTATGTTAGTTATGAAAAATTGAAAGCCTAAGTAACCATCAGCAATTGAGATTAATTGAGGAATAATCAGTAATTTTTCATAAACACAAGTCCCCATTTATTCAAAAAGCTATTATATACTGCAAATGCTAGCAATAAAGTTAGATGCACAAAGGTCAACTTCCAACATGGTATTTTGTAAAAGCGAAAAACAGAAATAGTTGTTTTGTCTTGGCAACTGGCATTCCTTAAGTGGTTTCACAAAACATCAGAGTGTTGATTTGGGAAAAATTACCATCCATGCTGATGGCAAATTCTGGAAGCTATACTACCAAAAAATAGCAACTTTTACAAGCCCTCTAGTCAACACATTTATCTGTGGTACCTTCAGTTAATTTTTGTAAATTTTAAAGAACCTGCTTTCTTCCCTCTACCCTAAACCAGTTCTGTTAATCTTTTTTTCTTATAATCTACCATACCAGCTTTCCCCAAACTGTGGTTCTTCCAGATGTTGTCAACTCCAAGTCAAATGAGCCTCAGCCAGCAGGACAACTTCAGGAATGTGGTGACTTCTGCAATGACTCAGGTTGGATGTGGTTGCTTGTATGCAAATATTACAAGACAAATATTAAAATATATGTCTAAGAAATCTCTGTGTGTGTGTGTAGCAATTTTTGCTATACAGTCGGCCCTCAGTGTCTGCAGACTTGCCATCCACAGATTTGAGTATTCCCAGATGGCAAGCCCATGTTGTCCCCAATGGTGGCACAAGAACATGGCCGTGCCCCCATTAGGGAGAGCTCCCAGCTCCCGTTGTCCTTAATGGTGGCGTGGCCGCATGCACTGGCCACCACTGGGAACATCGGGGGCTGTCCTAATGGTGGTGTGTGCACAAAGCTGTGCCACTATTGAAGTCCTGTTGTCCCTAATGGTAACATGGCCGCATGCATGTACCACCATTAGGGACAATGGGACTTGAGCATCAGTGGATTTTGGTGACTGGGGGGTGTCTGCAATGGATCCCCTGCGGATGTCGAGAGCTGACTGTACCATTAATGCACCTTTGCAGGTCGGTTTGACAGATAACCTAGTATCTTTCATACATGTGCTTCATTTCTTTTATGAATCACTGACCCACTAATGGGACCTGCAACAAAATGCTGGGAATACTGGCTGTTCAAGATTCAAAGCATTCAATTCTATTCTTCTGTCCCTGAATCTTTCACATTTTCCAAGTTCTTCTTTAACATTCAGCATTGCATGATAATTGGTCATGTTCAGTCTTAGGAGATTATCACATAGGAAGCTGAAGTATCTTTAAAGTGCCTTTAAATTGTAATTAACGAGCGATGGGGGTTCACACGCAGTTTGTCACATCTGTAAAGTGTCTGTAAAGTGTCATGGATGCATCACTGGCTCCCCATTTGCCTATCTTGTCAGTAACAGTCCTTGGAGCCATCATTTTTCAGTAACGTGATCTTCCATTATTGAAAAATGACAGCTCCAAGGACATGTTACTGATGGGATAGGTGAGCAGGGAGCCAGAGGTGCGTCCATGACACTTTACAGACGTGACAAACACGAGAGCATGTGAACCCCAATCACACATTAATTACAAATCAAAAGCACTTTAAAGATACTTTAGCCTCCTGTGTGATAATCCTCTCTGAGATTTCTTCCTCCCTGGCTTTCCCCCTTTCTTTAATTTTCTCTATTCTTTTTTCCAATCTAACTTTAGGGTTTTCTCTCCTAGGAATGATGATAGTCATCTGAAGGGCAGAAATATTACAAGAACCTGGGGAAGTTACTTTTTAAGGCTTCAGCTCCAGAATCCTCAAACTAGCATGGCCACTAACTTAAAAGTCTTGTTCTCTGGAAGCATTTCCCTATATGCCCTCTTAATCAGAAATTCCACAGATTTCCAAGACAAGAGGGGAGCTTTTGAGTGGTGTCCCCTTGACTTTGGAGAACTCTACCTATAGAAGTTTGCTTGGTGTCTGTTTCTTTTTGGCACTAGGCTAAGACTTCTTATTTCCCCAGTCTGTATAAAATCTGATACTATAGTCTCTGAGGTCTGGTTTTGCCTGCTGTATGTTATGTCATTGCTGCTGTTATGTAGCTTTTGCGTTCTCTGTCGAATTTTATTGCAATTTATTACTATAGGCTTTCAAGCTGTTACTGGATTTTAAATGATCAACTGTGGCTTCACCGCACTACTACTGGTGGCGCAGTGGTTAAATGCCTGTACTGCAGCCACTC